ATTTTCCTCTTTCACAATTAGCAACAGACTATGCAGATGTTTCAGAAACAAGACTGAGAAATTATGGCAGGTTAGTATATAGCATTTACCAATGTAGCGGATTCTGCAAACATGGGAGATATATAGAGAGAATAATAAATAGATATAGATACGTATATGCCTATATTGTATCATTTTCTAGAGTTTAACATGCTGTAACATGGACATGTAGAATAACATCTTGAATCCAATGAGTAAATCCACCAGCATTTGGCCTAAAATGTATTAAGTGGTCAGTCATTGTTATTTTCATTTCTATTATAAGATAGATGTGTTTTATTAGAGTTCTCTCCTGATCACAGACACACTTCAAGAAGAAAAGTGTTTATAATGGACTAAATGTTTATGTTTCCCCCAAATTCATATATGCTGAAATCCTAGCCCTCAATGTGACAGGATGAGAATATTAAGTTATGAGGGCAAAATTCTCCTGAGTGGCAGCAGTGCTTTAAAAAAGAAAGAAAGAAAGAAAAAGAAAGAGAGAGAGAGAGAAGGAAAGAAAGAACGAAAGAACGAAAGAACGAGAGAACGAAAGAAAGAAAGAAAGAAAGAAAGAAAGAAAGAAAGAAAGAAAGAAAGAAAGAAAGAAAGAAAGAAAGAAAGAATTAGAAACCTAGGCAACTGTCAACTGTCTTTCTCTTTCTGCCATGTGTACATACAAGGAGATGTCTTTCTGCTAAACAGGAAGCAGGCCCTCACCACACACCGGATCGCCTGTCACTTTGATCATGAAGTTCCTAGCCTTCAGAACTGATAGACATAAGTGTTTGTTACTGAAGCTTCCCAGTCAATGGGACATTATTGTAGCACTATGGATTAAGACAAAAGTTGGTACCAAGTAGTTGGGGTGCAGGTGTAACAAATACCTACAAATATAAAACCAGGTTTAGAACTGGGTGATTGTAGAGGTTGGAAGAGTTTTAAAGTGCTAAGAATTTGAGTGTTCAAGGCAATTCTGGTAGGGGTTCAGAAAGAAAAGAGGAGAGCTGAAAAGAAAGGTTTTGACTTCTTTATTTTTATTTTTTTTGAGTCAGAGTCTCACTCTGTCACCCAGGTTGGAGTGCAGTGACATACTCAAGGTCAACACAGTCTCGACCTGCTGCATTCAGGCAAGCCTTCCCCTCAGTCTTCCAAGTAGCTGGAGCCACAGGTGCACTACCACGCCTGGCTAATTTTTTTATTATTATTATTATTTTTTTTTAGAAACGAGTTCTCGCCAAGTTGCCCAGGCTGGTCTCCAACCCCTGATTTCAAGCAATCCTCTTGCCTCAGCCTCCCAAAGTGCTGGGATTACAGGCTTGACCAACTGCGCCCAACTGGTTCTACTCTTTTGGAGGGTATCTAGATAATCATAATCAGAGACAGAATATTGGCAGAATTGTGAATGATAAAGCCATTCTAAAGAGGTCCTGAGAGAACAGAGGACATGTTACTGGAAACTGGAGAAAACACAATCTTTACTATAAAGTAGCAGAGAATTTAGGTGCATAGTGTTCATGTTCTAGCATTTTGTGAAAGACAGAACGTTCCAGGGATGAAATTGGATATTTAACTGAGTAGATTTTTTTAAACAAAGTATTAAGGGAGTAGCTTTGTTCCTTCTGATTGCTTACAATAAAATGTGAAATCACAGAAATTAACTCAAGATGGAATTTTTAAGCAAAAAGGAACCAGAACTTAAAGACTTGGAAATATCTCAGTCTGTTCATATAAGAAAAATGAGAAAGTGTGTTTAGAGGAGAACACTAAGGGTGTTCAATAGGTGAACTAAGGGTGAACACTGATTATTGATAAAGACATTTCTATAGGTGTGAATCATGAACTTTATCTACTATGTCAACAAAAGCCAGGAATAAAGATAAGGTTATAAACCGGGCTCGGTGGCTCAGCCTGTAATCCTGCGCCTTGGGAGGCTGGGGTGAGTGGATTGCCTGGGTCCGCGGGTTCGAGACCCGCCTGGGCAACTTGGTGAGACCTCATCTCTACAATAAATAAATTTAAAAAAAAAGAAATTAGCCGGGCGTGGTAGCGCATGCCTGTGGTTCCAGCTACTTGGAGGACTGAGGTGGAAGGATCGCTGGAGCCCAGCAGGTCGAGGCTGTGGTGGCCGGGAGCAACCACTGCACTCCAGTCTGGGTGACGGAGTGAGACTCCAACTCAAAAAAACAAAAAAAAGAGATAAGGTTATAACAGCAGAAACACTGCCAACTGGTACTCAAACAAAGAGACACTGGGAAAACGAAGAAAGACTATCATACTTCTTAAACCCTATTGGATCAGATCCTAAAGATCTTCAGCCAGCCGGGCTCAGTGGCTCAGCCTGTAATCCCGCACCTTGGGAGGTTGAGGTGAGTGAATTGCCCGAGTCCACGGGTTCAAGACCAACCTGGGGAACTTGGCGAGACCTCATCTCTACAATAAATCAAAAATTCAGCCGGGCATGGTAGTGCATGCCTGTAATTCCGGCTACTTGGAAGGCTGAGGCGGAAGGATCGCTGGAGCCCAGCAGGTCGAGGCTGCGGTGGCCGGGAGCGGCCACTGCACTCCAGTCTGGGCGACAGAGTGAGATTCCAACTCAAAAAAAAAAAAAAAAAAAAAATCTTCAGCCATGAATATGCATTATTCTTCAAGTCTTGAGAATAACAACCCTAAAGTGGTTTAACATCTTCAGGCCTGAGGAATGGCTGCATCCACAATGATTTCAAAATACAGGATCAATGCCTAGGAAAGCCATGGGGTGGGACTGCTCAATGGAACCCAAATGTGAACTCTGCACATAAGTGAAGCCACCACGGATAGCCACCCAATGAACAGTGGCCCCTCTGAGTGGTAGTGGCAATATTGTCACTCCACTGTGTCTAGAAGACAGAATCTCTGCTCTAATGGGCCTGGAAGATAGAGAATCAAGCTAGTTCCTAAGGTTTAAGGTTTCGTGGAATTTGGCTTATTGGATTTTGGATTTACGTGAGACCTGTCACCCCTTTCTTCCTTCTTTCTCCCTTTGGGAGTGAGAATGTCTCGCCATGTATTTTGGAAGCACAAAACTTTATTGGTTCACAGCTGAGAAGAATTTTGCCTCAGGATGAATTGTATCTAGAGTCTCAACCTTGTTGGGTTTGGATGATATTGGTAAGTCTGGACTTTGGACTTAAAAATTCATGTGGAATAACTTAAGGTTTGGGGGGCTTTTAGAATGTACTTTGCATGTCAAAAGGGTAAATATGGTGGAACCAGAATTGGAATGCTGTGGACTGAATATCCATGTCTCCCAAAAATCCTAACTCCCAAAATGATGCTATTAAGAGGTTGGGCTGCCGGGCTCGGTGGCTCAGCCTGTAATCCCGCGCCTTTGGGAGGCTGAGGTGAGTGGATTGCCTGAGCCCGCGGGTTTGAGACCCGACTGGGCAGTGAGACCTCATCTCTACAATAAATCAAAAAATCAGCCGGGCGTGGTAGCGCATGCCTGTAATTCCGGCTACTCAGAAGGCTGAGGCGGAAGGATTGCCAGAGCCCAGCAGGCAAGGCTGCGGTGGCCGGGAGTGGCCATGGCACTCCAGTCTGGGCGACAGAGTGAGACTCCCACTCCAAAAAAAAAAAAAAAAAAGGAGATTGGGCCTTTGGGAGGTAAGCAGACCATTAGGATGGAGTCCTCATAATGTAATAGATGCCCTTATGAAAGGGACCCTAAAGAGTTGTCTTTCTCTCTCTCTTGAATATGCGGATACATGAAGATGATCAACTGCTACATAGAAAGCAGGTCATTACCCAACACTGTATCTGTTGGCACCTTGATCTAGGACTTTCTAGCCTCCAGAACTGTGGTTTGATGTTTAAGTCATCCAGTCTATGGTACTCTGTTAATAGCAGCCAGAACTGACTGAGACAGTATTCATGTAACTTTGGGAGATGGATTCAGGAAAAACAAACAGCAAGTTATGCATGTTCTTGAGACTTTTCCTGATATATACACTTTCTGTTTTAGGGGTACCACTGAATATTTAATTTATTTCTTTTGCTATTTCTTAGCATGTGGCATAAAATTTTGCAGATATTTGTCTATTTCTCACTATGTTTTAGTTGAGAGTTTTTTGCTGTAAAAAATATACTTAATGTTTTCTTAATTTGCTTCTTGCTTACTAAGATTCAATTCTTTAGTGATGGGAGATTCAGAACAAATCTCATGTTTCTCCCCTTTTTAGTTTCCTAACAGCTGTAAGCAAGTGGCAACAAATGTAAGCACATAACAGAATAAATGGGAGCACATCTTAAAACATATTGCAGGATCAATGAATACATGGAAAAAAGGGAAACGTTACCATGCGTCAGTGGTGCTAGTGGAATTTATGGGTTGAAAGAGAGACAGAGGTGTGAACAAAGAGCAATTCTTTTCAATATCTGACTTTGAGCAATTCCATAAATCTTTTTCCCCTAGGAAAACCGTCTGTGCTTCCACTCACTCCACCTCAATCCCAGAAGACACAACTGTCACACTGAAAAAACGACCCCAAATCACAAAAGATGAAACCAACTTTTTTTCAAACACTCATGCTGGGTAATGGGATAGAAAATCTGGACTAGTTGTAAAATGTTTTTGTGCCTATTATGTTCTAGGCATTGTGAAAATATCTTGATGTCAACAATCATGAGAATCATCCTTTCAGGTTTATGTCATTAAATGCCTTTCAATGATGAAAAATTGAGATTTGTTAGCTTGAGTGACATATAGAATTTCACACTATTAGCAAACACTGTTGCAAGAATTGATAGTGAAAACTGTTCAGATCCTATAGCATTCCTTCTATTCTTACATAAATTCATTACATTTTCAAGCATCATATTCTATGATTAAATGAACATGCAGGCTTGATCAGAGAGTATGTTTTTTAGTTCATATTTTGAAAGGGGGTTGCTTTTATTCTGATTTGTCTTTCTGACACACAGAAAACATTTCTTTTTCTCACCTAACGGCACTGCTGCCCACATCAAGGTCTTGTGCAGTGACAGCACCAATGATCGTCCCAACTGGAGTGTCCTCATAAACTTCCATGGTGTAGAGTGGCTTGCTGAACACCGGCGGCTCATCCACGTCCAGTACGCTGATCTTCACTGTCGCTGTGTCTTTAAAAGGGCCCGCCGAGTGAAACCTGTGGTCAAGGTGAAGGTTGGAGGCCTCCACTTTGAAAGTATATGCCTTCTTTGTTTCAAAATCTAATGGCTGAAGTGAGAACAAATTTTTTAAAAATGAGAAGGCACATTTATACAAGATGTGTCAGAAGTGGTGAACATCACTCCAGAGCAATTTGTAAATTAGTACCAATTGTACTGTTGTCAGATTTATATTTTCCGTTAGGATTAGCAGATAAGGGAAGTCATTACAGGCAAACATTTTAAGAATAGAATCACCCATGAGCAGAACTTTCTGGAAATCTTGTAAAGATAATTATTTGCATGCTTAAAATCACATAAATTACATGCAGACACACATGCCAGGTAGGGTTTATTCACTTCATGTGAGCAAAGTTAAAACAGCAGAGCACTGAGAAGCATTTCTCTGTTCCTATCCAATACTGACATCTAGTGGAATAAAGCAATAATTGAGCAAAAAACAACAAAAATGAAATAGGGCAATATGCTTCTACAATTTAGACTCCAGCTGCAGAGTTAGTATGGCAGACTATGGGAGGTTTGTGGGACAACTTTTCTTATCTTGACAAAATTTCATTTCCTGTTAAATATTTTTGAACTCTTAGGTCTTTTCACCAAAGGTCTGTATCAGGATTTAAAAGCATACACAGTTATAATTACAAAAAAGGTTTTTTGTTTCTGTGTGTGTGTTCCCAGAACTATATATATAAAATTAGTGTGCTCCGTAAGTACAAATTGCCAAGAATTATGGTCTCAAACACATAGGATAAAATTCAAGAAGGCTATGGAACGTAATATAGAAAGTCATTTACAATGTAGTAACTGATGTTCAATTTTAGCAAATCACTGCTAGTTTTATGTTCCCAGCAACTGAAAATATTATATTCCCAAAATATGGCACTGCTGTGGTGCTTTGTTTAAGTGTTAAGTTTAAGGGCAATGGTGTTGACTTGTAATCACCTAAAAAATCCTAAGAAAACGTGAATCTAACATTAGCATAATGATTTTCTGAGACCTTTAAAAATTTATGTTTGCTAAAGTAATTCCCTCCAGTGTGGAGCCAATGACTTGCTAATTGCTGTGTCAACACCTGTTCCTTTACTTAGTATATCTGGAAAAAATAAAGACAATATACTTTTCTACTTTAAAGACTTTAAAGATTGCTGTTTTATGCATTTCCTCTGAGGGATAAATAAGAAAAGGAAAAAAAATTACTGGAAAATGCTCAAAAACTCTCACAATTTCATTTATTATAACAAAATGGTAATACAAAGTGGTTTGGTGAGTCATCAAGTCTCTTTTACATTATTTTTCATTCGGGAATATTTTTATTTTTCTGGTAATTATTTTACTTAGTTTATCATATGTTATGCGTGTTTTGTCTGCTTCGTAATCAATGCTGTCTCTGATATTTTATATTTTTATTCATTCACCGCATACCTGTTTACATATAATGTTGATTTCCTTCAATTTCCATCCCTTTCCTGTGAGAGATTTTTATTTCTCTTAAAACAAGTATAAGTACAAAATGGAATGCATAATATGCAGTAGTCGATTATATGTCCATTGGTGACATGAATTGAAATGTAATATCTGGAAAAAGTGAGGGGATCATTCAATGATGCTTCTTTGATCAGCCTGAACTTGACTACTGTGTTTTGTTAAGGAAATCAGACTCAAGAAAAGAAAACCAATTGCCAGAATAGAATGGCAAAACATTACTGAAGTCAAAAATAAGAAACCACTACAGTTACTGGGAATATTTAGCTTGGAATGAAGACCAAGACAGGACACACACTCTCAAATATTTGAAGGGCTATCATGTCAATGTTTCTGAGTGGTGTATTTACAGTCATTTAAATTATTTTTAAAAAGGAGTGTCCTTAGGTTAGAAAAAGGAAGAAATCTCTAACAAACGAAACCATATATCACTGAATTAATTAACTATATGTCGATATGGATGTAGATATGCGTGACTTTAGTGGTTTCAAGGCTTGGGATACATTCTAGAAGGACTGGAAGACGCAAAGACAAACAAGGCTTTGTTTTCTCAATACATTCAACAAATTAAAGAATAATGACATATCGTTTATTGAATAAGTTTGAAGAAGTAGCAAGTTTTCCAGAACTAGATGTGCTTAGTAGAAATTGAGTATATTAGGAGATGTGTGAGAGAGAATGATGTATGAGAGTAGTGCACTAGCTAATTCAAATTAAAGGACATATAAAAGTAAACTGCTGTTTTTGTAAACTCTAAATGCTCTATAAATGTTAGACAATATATATATTTTATAATAATGATCCCTAAATTCTTGTACAAGACATCTGATTTTATCACTTCATGGATCCTTTTGTCGAGAAAACAAATTTAGCAGACCTGGCTCCTACCCACATCCTTTTTAGCCCAGAATTAACTTCTATCTTAGAATATAGGAGTGAGTACTAATTATTCCTCATTTCCTTCTCTTTCTCCTTGATGTTGAAATACCTCTGATTATCTACATGATTAGTAATTCTTTCTAGATAAGATCTTAATTTTACTTCCCTACTCAATTACACACTATAGCTCTCTGGATAAAATTGACTTCCTACTGGTAAGTCCATTTCAGGACAGAAATGAAAGAATTCTGAAACCTTTTACTTTTTTTTATCTTTAAGGAGATCAGGTATAATTTTTACCTTTTAAGAAATCCTGATCTATCACAGCAGGCAAATATTTGGTGGTCAGGGAGATAGATAACTAAATAAAAGAAACTTTCTGTAATACAGATTTTTTCACAACTGAAAACTTATATCATGTAGTGATCAAAGAACCGGAGAAAATTGTTAGACAAATGCCACAATAATAAAGTAGGTGGAGTTACTCCTTTATGGCTCTTACTGTTTGGCAATTCCACTGTACAAAATGTTACAAACTTCAGAAAGGGTAGAGAATCAATAGTGATCTCTCTCTAGATGACTTTACCTATACATCTAACTTATTACTCTCTATTTTTTGGGAGGGAATAAGCTTTAGCTTTGCAATCAATAAAAAGACTAACATTTGAAATAAGTATAAAGCAAATGGAATTTTTTAATTGCTAGAAAATGACTCATTTTCTATTATGGAAATTCATTACTATGAAATTGAACTAATTTAGCTCTTATACAATAAATAGAAAAACTTGTGACATTGCTTGGGGCCCATCTAATTTAATAAACCCTTCTAGAAGGTAAGAAATGATTCACTAAAGAGAATTTTTTGGTTGAGCAGCTCCTTGCTTTCTAGAAAAAATTAGTGAAACCAAAGTTTTCAAGAAATAACTCACATTGTAAAGATCTGTGCAGTAAGAAACAAACCACAGTTATGGAGAAATGGAATGAGATAATAGATGATAGATAAAAGATAGATGGAGATAGATAGATAGATAGATAGATAGATAGATAGATAGATAGATAGATAGATAGACAGACAGATCGATCTCCAGAGTATAATAAAAGATATTGGACAAGATACCGCCTTTTCCTTCTTTGTTTTCTGTCATTTTCTCTTTGCTTACTTTGCTGAAGTCCAGGTCCCAAAAAACTGCATAAAATATTAAATGCCTGAACATTTCAAATAGGGATATGCAATTTTTAGCATGAAATATAAGAGAATAACTCTCGGGGCTCTTCTAGGCCTCACCATACTTCCAGATAATGCTAATTGAAAATAGATATAGTCATAGATATATTGAGGAATTAAAAAAAAACACTAACTGTGGCAGACAGAATTCCAAAATGTTCCCCAAGATCCCTGTCTTCAGTGCCCCTCAGCCTTGTATGCAATGACTCTGTTCTTGAATGTGTGAGTGGCCGGCCTGAGGATGAATAGCATACTACTCCCATAAACTTAACTTCTATGAAAAAATAAGTTACACAACTATAATTAGGGTCTTTAATAACTTATTGTTGAGTTAATTAAGAGAGATTTATTTAAGGGGTCTGACCTAATCAGGTGAGCCTTTAAAAGAAAGAGGTGATACAAATGATTTCTGAATGACCTTTAAGAAATAAACTTCTGAGCATGGAAGCCTGCATAGGCTGCAAATGGCCTTGCAGAATGGTGACTTGGTCTTGGCCAAAATCCAGCAAAAAAATACTAAAACAAAAGCTACAGGAAACAGTAATGGCCTCAAGAAACCAGTCAGAAGGACAAATAACCAGTAAGGTTGGAAGAGAACTCTAAACCTCAGATCAGATTGAAGCCCAAACTATGCCTTGACTTCAGCTCAAAAGCCCTGAACAAAGGACTCAGTGGTACCATAGTCTGACTAGCTGTGGTTTTATCCTGCCTCACTTTTTCCTGTGCTATACTAGTTCAGTTTTTATGATAAACATGTATCATTTTTACTAACATAGTAAAGCCATCACTCTTTTAAAAAATGGAATAAGACTCTGCTCTCTCAACTATCTAGTAGGTCTTAATAGTCAATAGGTCTTAATAGAAGGAAAACAGTCAATGAACCCAAATTACCCAAAGATATAGACTTATAAAACAAGACTAGATCCTTTTTAAGACAAACAGAAAACAGATTTATTCCAGGTTGAACCCAGAATGAGCAGATATTAGGTACAAGCTCTTATAAATAGGTTTATTACACCAAGCTGAACAAAAAATAAGATGTTCAAAACAAACAACATTTTAACAGCATCAAAAAGTCAACTTTCCTAAAACTTAGTTTTATGATCAATATAGTAGTCAATTCTTGTCTAGGAAGAGATCTTGGAAAGTTTGTGCATATCTCAAAATCACTGAGAAAAGGATTCAAAGCAATATATTACTGAAAAATCATCAGTTTTTTGATGACTAGAAGTTATCAGTATATTGGATGATAAGGTCTCTAAAACAAAAGAAAAAACAATGCCATATGCCCATTTTTATTTTATTTTGTTTTTTTGAGTTGGAGTCTCACTCTGTCGACCAGACTGGAGTGCAGTGACCACTCCCGTCCACCGCAGCCTCGACCTGCTGGGCTCCGGCAATCCTTCCACCTCAGCCTTCCAAGTAGCTGGAACTACAGGCACGCGCTACCATGCCCGGCTAATTTT